TATCGGATTGATAAGCCCATTCCATGTGGATGTGAGCACATATTTATATATCCTTACTAGACAAGCGGGCGCCCTCTTAGATTCGATATTAGAGTTGGACAGCACAAGTTCGTGTGTCTACATTTCTATCCATATAAAACGTACAATAAAAATCGGGGCAAGTTCATGTGACTATATTTTTTTACCCCCTAAAAACATACAATAAATATCATAGGACGGGGCTGGGTAAATTCATGGGAATGTTCATAGGACGGAACAAGTTTAGGTGACTACATTTCTACCCTCAAAAAACATATTATAAACATCATTATGATAATGAAAAGTAATTCAATTGGCATTATATAACCTCGGTACAAGACAAAAAACAGGTGCATGTGAATCAATATCAAGTGATACCTTGACATTTTAGGGCATATGAACTTATTTTGGCTGTTGTTCAGAGAAAATTTATGGGAATTAAAAAAAAAAAGATTGCGAATGACATGTCATGTCAATAGGCGACACGATAATGTTTGTTTTAGTACACTAAAACGGTTAATATACTGTTAGTGCAATGCAATATACATTTCTATTGCTTTCTTATACGCAGATCATTATATTCTATGTATATATATTATTCCGGATTTCTTTTTTCACTGAACAACCACAATTTTTTTTTGCCTTGAAGTTAAATTTTTATTTTGAGGCTAAATACGCAATTTATACAGTATATTATTATCTCTTGGAAACATAAGGTGTCGTGATCCGTGGATACATATCAGAATCTACCTTTTCTTTTTTGGCAAATTTGGCAAATTTAAGGATCTTAAAATGAATCACAGCATCTTCTGATCAATTGGACACACCAGATATTGGAATCCACGAATAATACATGATATACCAAAGCTTCAATGTTGATAGTTACATGTGCGAGTTTTTTCTCAGATTGGTTGAATTTTCTTTTTTTATAGTTTATTTTTTCTTTTATGTTTTCCTATTCTGAACTTTTTTTTTCTTTTCGCTTATTTTTGGCGTTTTTTGTTGTATTTTTTTTTGTCCTACAGACTTTTCTTCATACTGCAATCTGGCATATGCTTTCGACTTCAATCTAAATTGACTAGGGTTGTCAGTGTCCATGTCGGTGGTTATCTCCGGGCATTTCGGCTTCCTCTACCAATAAAATTTGACCGGTACGATATAGCCAATAGTTCTGAACGTGGTGTTAAACGCCATTAATCAATCATACTCAGATTTCTACTTTCCTCATACAATTCTAGACTATATGTACTTACCAACTGACGGTGCAATTATTATCGATGACAAACCATGAATTGTAATCATTAAAGATAAAGCTGCTGAAATATTCTCAGCACCTACACAGTCCCTGAGTACTAGAATTGACATAGAAAAATAAATGCTTCCAAAAAGTCCATAAATAACAGAATATCCTATGAAAGCTGTAAAATTTGTATACAACGGATTTAACATGGAAGCAACACCAGTAATTCCTAAACAAAATCCCATTATATGGTGACGTCTAATTTTTTGTGAATCGGTTATCCAAGCTAATGTAAATCGTGCAAAAAGGTCACACCCACCAATTATTGTAATTAAAATTGTTATTTTGTCATTAGAAATACCATTATCTCTGGCAAAAGGTGGAATGAATGTTATAATCATGCCACTTCCACAGAATGAAAAAAATGCCACTAACAGAAAAAGCTGTAATTTACGATTCCGAAGAACTGTCATATCTATGATGTATTGATTGAAACAAAATTCAGACTTGCTTTTATTGCTTTCATTAGAACTTTCCTCCGATGTATGTTGTGGCAAAGATCTCAAGCTACATGTGTGTGTAGTCCAAAATGTCTCAGGTGTTCCCAAACTACCGTCAATATTAATGTTGCTACCCGTAAAACGCTCGACCAAATAGTCTGATTTCTCAGGTATTTCAATTTTAGTCTTTTCATTTTCTTTTTTATCCAAAAAGAAGTTGTACGAAAGACTTCTCTTAATGTCTACTTTTTTATCAATTAGGTCCATAAAGGGTTCTTGGTCCTCAACCTGATACTTTTGTCTGGAAAAGTATCCTGGGACATTATCGAGTGAAATGGAAATTTCATCTTTTAACCAATTCCTTTTGGCTATTATTATGTCAGCCTCACTTTCAGAATCTGCATCCTGTTTTTCAACGACAGGTTCCGATAAAAAAGGACGCATCAAAGCTCCAACGATTATATTGTTTAAAATAAGACCAGATACAACTAACAAAGCTCCTTGTAAACCATAATTATCTAAAAGTTTCCTTATAATCACAGGCCATGCAAGACTCCCAACACTCCCTCCCACGTAGGCAAAACTATTAGCAAATCCTAGATGTTTCTCGAAGTAGTAGTTCAGTACAACAAACACTGGTCCTGTTGTGCATGCGCATCCAACACCTGAAATATTCATTCACTGGTATAGAAAAATGAAATGGAAATCAGATCGTTTTCTCTCTTTAGTGTTATAGTATTTTTGAATCATTAAATTTTCAATATTTTTATAAGGTTCTTTTCCGTGGAAAGACCTATTGATTTTGTTCTGATTATTTTTTTTTTCTTCCGCCTAATTTTTTTTTTCTTTCGCTGTTTGGTTGTTTCGCAAGATGTCGATTTGATATTTGGTATATGATATCGAACAGTTTATGCGCTTTCAAAACTGACCCTGCTTAACCGAATACTTTTCTTTGTAAGAGTTATCTCCCCGAACAGTGTTTTTATTGTGTTTGCTACTTCTTCGCAACCGTGAAAGATTACGACAAATTTATTTTACCAAATTGCTCGCTATATCTTCAGGATGTTGAGTTTGGTTTTCACCGAAGCGTTCCGGAGACTCCATATCAGAGTTATTTCCCCTTATGCATTTGATTTAAGTGATATGCATCTCTAACTGGTAAACCATAAGTGATAGAGACCTAGGGTCTTTTGATTTGAGGTCCTTGATCCAAAAAAAAAAAAAAAAGAAAATCACATTCTAAATTTTGATTTTGGCTTATTTTCACTTCTTTTCAAAAACCTTATAAGATAACGACAACATATCTTTACTAAATTGTTAGTTGCGACATGTTCTAACACATAAATTTTAGTTGAAAGTGTACGTAGACATAAAATGGCAGTTTTCTCCCATTTTATATGTAAAATTATGTGTATGGTGATATAACTCGTTAACCATATCTAATAGAGACCTAAGGTATTTTGATTTGAGGTCCTTGGTTTGTGACCTTGATTTTGAGGTCAAGGTCAAAGTTGAATTTGGTGTTCTAGATTTTGACCTTTGCCTTAAATTCATATTTATACATGCTAAAGCCATAGGAGTTTTTGAATTAGCTTGCAAGCCATATGACCTTGAAAAATCCAACTGGAAATGACCTTGTGTAAACCGGAAGTAGCTATTTTTTGTACTTTTTTAATGTAAAAGTATATAGAACCATATATTTTTGGAATCAGTGTCAAGTAAACTATCAAAAAATACCAGAAGTGACATTTTTTAACCGGAAGTAACAAATTATATCCCTTATGTCAAACAAAAGTGTATAGAAACCATATATTTTTTAAATCAGCATACAATAAGCTATCATTGACCCTGGAAATTGCATTTTAAACTGGATTTTAATATTCTCGTCTCAAGATATATCATTTGAGGTGGAAAGACCTTCAATTGTTTTCTGAACAATTGGTTTTTAATTTCTTTATATATTTTTTTATTTCTTTTTGTCTGTTATCAACTTATAATTGCATTACATGTATGTTTCATTATAATACGTTATTTTGATTGGCTAACAGCAATCTCGCGTCTTTTTGAAATCAACCTTCATTGTAACATTCATGATCACACGAGCTCCCACAATAAAGTGCACAGGTTAAAAAAAGAAAAACTTGATAGAAATCGTGTTTTCAAAAAAAATGTAATTATAAGTATTGAATGCTTCTTTTAGTAATTTTATAGGGTTGTAAAAACGTTGACCGTGCGCACATTTATAGAATAAAGCGCTTCCGCGCTTCATATAAAATGTACTTCGGTCAACGCTTTTACACCCCTATGAATTTACAAAAAGAAGCATTCAATTCTTAAATAAACATGATAAAGGGATTTCTAAATATATCGCTGTCCCGTGCAATCAAATCGATAAAAAAAATTTAAGAACGTCAATTTGTTTAAATTGTACGCTAAAAATTAATCGTGTATCTATATACACTGTCGAAAAACATAAAATGTATACGAACTTTAGAAACAGGACGAAAAGCGAGGCTCTTCTGTTTCGTAGCGAGTACAAATACATTTGATTATTTGTTACTTGACTGATATATAAGCATGTTCACTGGTCATCTGAACTAATTGGGTTTCATCATTTTGAGAATCCTCTTTATTCTGATTTTTGAACTGTAACCATCTGCGTTTTCTTTTTATTATTTCATTTAAAGAGTTCTTAAACTAAATCCCTGCAAAATCTGCTTAAATCGTGGTTAATTTGAAACAGATTTTGACAGTGACAACGTGTCTATGTGAATGATATGAAAAATCAAGAAAACTTCTGTTACCAGTCTATTTAAAAAAAAACCCAACTCATATCTTTAAGAAAGAAGTGCATGGACATGCCTCTTTTATTCAATTAAATGACGGGTGCCACATGTGGAGCAGGATCTGCTTACCCTTCCGAAGCACATGAGACCACCACCAATTTTTGGTTGGGTTCGAGTCGCTCAGTCCTTGGTTTTATATGGTGTGTTTTGTATTCTATTGTTTGTCTTTTTATCGTTTTAAGTTTGTTTGACATTGCATTGTCAGTTTGTGTTCGACTAACGGGTTTAAATGTTTCTTTGGTATCTTTCCCCTATCTTTTATTATTTTACTAATTTCATTTCATTTTTTTAGCATTTCTATTGTTTTGCTAACCAGCAAACAACTGTTTAGTTAATCAAAGTAATATTCAAAGACATACAAAATTAATATTATTATTAAAAATTTAGCAAATTTACCATATAGTACGCTTTGTGACAACACCAACACCCCAATGTTTGGAGAGAAAGCACTCAGCAGATAGCCCGAGAAAGATATAAAACCTCCAATTATTATCAACTTCCTATTTCCTAGAAGTTTAGAACCAATGTTTAACACAAACAATGCTGAAATAAACAAACAAAAGATATAGTTGTAATTTGATATAACAATAACAAGTTGGTTTAATCATATGGTTATAAATTTTGAGGACCTATGACACAAAGTTTTCTAAGAGTTGAACTGATGTTCTAATGCCATGTGCTTGTGTGTGTCCGGAGTCTGAAATCCTATTAAAGTTCTGTGGCGGATCCAGAAATTTTCATAAGGGGGGTCCACTGACTGCCATAAGAGGGGCCAGGATGAAATTTGAAAAAAGGCAGGATGAGACACTTTGCATTTTCTAAGAAGTACAGTGACTGACATTAAGGGCATACGATACAGTTACAGGGGAGGTAATGACGTCGCTAACGCAAAAAGTTATTTTTCGCGAAGTCAAATTGTGACACATCGGGAAAAGATTTATTTTTCGACCGATTTTTTTCTTCCAGACTGATTTAACTTGAAAACGAGTTCATGAACCCCTCTTTTTAAAAATGGCATTTGACTTGATTATGTATGAAGATTATTTGTGCTAATTTTCATAAAAAAACTCACTGATGAAATTTTTTAAGTTAGATAAAAATACAGCAAGAAATTCCGTTTTTGACTAAAACCAGGAAAGTTTGATAAATATGAATTATTTCCAAAGAATTATTACACAAATTCAAAGTAAATTTATGTAGAGAAGATAATTCAAATGTTATTACAAAAATCCGCTAGCGTTTATCTTTCAAGATAAAAAAGTTAGGTGTGGTCTTTCCAAAGGATAGAAATGTCCAAGAAACTAAAATTTCCAGTAAATATCCAAAATTTCGACCCCATTTATCATGTTTATCTCTAAAAGTAGCACATGGAGGTATATTTTTTATTACATATCTGAATTGACTAGTAGGAAAATAGCTTGTATGCAAACTTTCTTCAAAAAATCACCGTGGGATCAAAACTGTATCGTATGCCCTTAAGTATAGGACGGCATAATGGCAATACGTTAAGCTGCATTCTTTGTTGTGGTATATTTTATTGATTGTTTTGTTATAGAAAAAAAACAAAGGATGTGAGGTATCAATCCATGACACAAAATCATTTTATGTGTCTTTATTAATCTCTATGATACCGTTATTTTTTAGAAATATTATTTAAATATTAACGAGTCCAGTGTCTTTTCCTCTACTGATTCCAATTTTTTATTTTTGCTTTTTCAGTTAGTTCTTTGATCATGATTAAAAGCGGAAACTTTAAGGTAAAAAATTCCAAAAACATGTTTAACCCTGCCACATATTCATGTGCCTGTTCCAATGCAAAGGAGACCGACAGTGCTTTTCTTATGTCAAAGCTTAATGTTGCTTTTTTATTTGAGGAGGTTGGTTTTGAAAGTAGATCTTTGATTGCTTCTGTTTAATTTATTCACAACTTTTATAGACAATTAAAACTTGACGGTTTATAAAGACACATATCTATTGTTTTGAGACTGTATGTTTCCCTCTATGCTTATTGGGAATATTTTTCGTTTGATTGCTGTCTTCTTTTAGTTCGATTATTATCCGTTATTCCGTTATTATCTGTTCCGGTCTTTTTCTTTTTATAAGTATGTCCTTGTTTGCAGTTTATTTATGATACAAAGTTGAACATTTCTTTCTATCTGTATTACAGTTAAGAATGAGGACAGCGAATTCATATCACGATTATACTGTTGCATGAAAAGAGGATGGATATGGATAGCTGTTTCACGTCCATTAGTAAATTAAATGCATATTCAGGACGAGAACCTGTTTAATGTGATATGGATAAAGATCCGACTCTTGTACTCAACCGTTCACAACGTAAAAGTCCACAGGAAGACATATTACCCTATCCAGATACATTATGTTGACTCCGAGACGACCAGTCTTTGCTCTTACTTCTGAATGTTGCATGTTTAGCCGAGAAGAAGCAAATTCAAATTTTCAAGTAATTGGCTTGACCCTGCCTTGAATCGAACCCACGACCTCCCGTACTCGAGGTGAGCACGAGATCACAGACACTGATGCGGTTGTATGAAAAGAGGCATTTAGATTAATATCTGATTCACGAAGCCCCTATGTAGGTATGGAAATTGAATATAATTTGCATTGTAAACAATAAAAAATAATTGTTGTCTGCATACTTACATGACAAGCTTACTGTAAGCGTTTGTGCAGCCAGCATTCCAGACAAAATTGACGAGTTGGTGTCGTAGAACCATAGAAATTCAACAAAAAATAACCCAAATGATTTTGCTGTACCAATAAGAATAAAAACGTGTAATGTCGCTCCTAAAATAAGATCGTATAATTGAATTAAACTGTTTTAAATTATTTAGAAAACAGCTGCTGGTGATGACGACGACGATTTCATCTCGTAAGGGATATTAATGTATAGTATTGGACGTCAAGATGGCATATCGGTAGGTTAAGTACATGAACTTTGAGTTTGTTTTCAGATACTGCGACCAAGTATATATTTTTAATACGGTAAAGTTAATGCCTGTACTTTGTTTTTTAAATTTTATCTATTTTACTGTTGTTATTGAAATAAAGCGCCTTTCATGTTCTTGATTTTAGTTGTACGTTCTTGTATGTACATTGTACTATTCTGCTGGCCGACGTTATAAGATGAGAGCAAACACTTCACGTGCCTGTCCAAAGTCATGAGCATTGCCAATGGTTGTATTTTGTTTTATTGTAATGTGTTCATCATGTGTAAAATTACAATGAAAGTAATGATGGTAGATCATTGATAATCGTTGTTAATTTCAATCACAGCGTTTAGACTCGCCTTGAGAGCTCGACATATTGTTAGGATACCTGTCTATGGTTGAAGATCGTATGTTGACCTCGGATTTGCTGTCTCATTGACGTATAGAAAACATCTCCTAGTACTAATGACATATTTGATTCATTTGCTTTTGAAAAGTATATAGTTATGAAAATAATAATTATATGTTAATAAGTATGTGTATATATTATAAACACGTAAAAACAAAGGCAAATCAATCAAATAATCATAATAAACAGCTGAAACATGCCGACAGCGCATGTTTTTTTTTTAAATTGTGTTTGTGTTGTTAGGTTGTCGTCTTATAGTCGTTTACCTGGTACCCCACATCCATCTATTATATAGTATTACACATATTGAGAAATAAAAATAAACAAAAAATAAACAAATGCAATGAGTAGAAAGACAAAAAAAATCCCTTTCCAGAAAAAAGAAAGAGTGGAAAAAACAAGTACATATAAAAAATCTTGTCCTTACCAAGTGATATAATCCATGCCCATCCTGTATCTTTTTCACTTCGTCTTGGGATAGAGTTCGAAGCTTCCTCCATGTTCATTTATCAACTTGTGTAACAAATCTATTAGAGGAATAAATATTAACCTTAGAGTGAACTTCCCCACATGATAATGCATTAACTTTATTATGATTCAGTCAGCTATCTCATTTACTGTAATCTGTTCATTCATAAAAAAATAATGCTTCTATATTGGATGAGTGACTCGATAGTATATTTAAATGACATTTCATACAACTATATTAAGTATACTGTCCATTAGATACACTTGCATATTCTTTATTAAAAATTGTTAAGGTTTCACAACTCGGATAAATCGTAACTTCAAAAAATCAAAAATAAGTTAAAAAGTAAAACAAATGACACAAAGAGGAGCACACTTACACTAGAAGTAGGTTATCCGATTTGTGATTTTTGTGGCTTTGTAATATATTAAACCGATTTTGGATTTCGGTACTACATTTTGTTTGGCCGTTAACCCCGGATTGTCTCTTTTAAAGGACCTACCTATTGTATTTTATGTTAACTTTTTCTGATCCTGAATATGAATGAAATAGTTTCCACTGGACGGTAAGCAACCAATATTCAATCAATACTTTTTGTTCATTTTCGTGATGTAAAGTCTGTTGACAATTTATGTTAAATGATGTAAAAACAAATACAAAAATGCCCAAAAACTGCAATCTATGGAATGTAGCTGTAACTTTTGAGCAGGTGACCTCAAGTCAACTGAAGCCACACTATCAATCATGGTTGATACATTGTAACTATCTGATATATGTCTAAAATATATTGTCTAGAAATAGAATTTTTTCCGCAAACTGAGACGTTGTACAGTTGAAAAAAATTTTATTTTCTACTCCAGGAATAGATTCATTTACCTCAGCTGTATTTGGCAAAACCTGTAGGAATTTTGGTTCCTCAATGCTCGTCAACTTCGTACTTTATTTTTCCTTTTAACTGTTTTGATTCGATCGTCACTGATGAGTTTTGTAGACGAAACGCGTGTCTTGCGTATAAAATTTAAAGCCTGATGAAGGATGAGTTTATTGACCTACTGACGCACAAAATCATTAGAGATGTTTTTTCTCTCCATGGGGCATTATCATTTTTTTTTTTTCATTTAATATCGACGTATGGTTCAGAAGATATCATCTGGTAACAAAAATTATGTCCCTATTTCAGTCTAAAATTTCTATTATATCTTTGACCTTCGACCTATTGATCTGAGAACCAGTAAGGGTTATCTCATCTCATGCGGGCACTATTAAACCAAGTTTGGTTAAAGTAAGTAAGTGGCTCTAGAGTTAACATCCGGAAACTAAACTATTGTACAAATCACAGTCAAGTAATAACAGTTGTGACCTTGACCTGTCACCTATTCAAATTCAGTAGAATTTTCCTCACCTCATGTGACTTTATCAATCCAAGTTTGGTAAAGATATTCATTATGACTAAACATATTTGTCCTGAAACCTGAATATTTAAGTCAGGACACCCGGACGACATTCATCATTCCATGAGTTAAGTTCAATTTCGTTCCTTAAAAAATTCAAATAACCCCTTCCCCCCCCCCCCCCCCCAAAAAAAAAATATAAATGAAAAGCTTTACTTTATCCGACTTGACCTATCGTACAACATATATGTATTACCTGATATACGCGGTTTTCTTTCGCTTTAGACACTTTGATATCTAGTTGCTCGTCAAATTATCAAATGGTGTAGAACTTCTTAGTATTCAATTAAAATAACCGTACGAATGGTGATCATAATAAATTATCGTTATTTTGAATTATCTAATTCGTATGTACTTACCACGTTAACTTCTCAGTTCATACTTGTGTGCATATTAGCCCGAAGTAGTATTTAACATTCATGTTACTTTATAAATTAAATATACATCCTAATCCCGACTAAATAACTTTTAATGTCAATACAAGATTAGATTTTATGTTAGTTATAATAAATATGTCTGTCAGCATGTACCGGAGTCAAATTGCCGTATGTTTTTAATGAATACGCAATTCATGTACAGTGCAAAAAAATGTTATTTAGGTCATTTCAAATTGAATACTAGTTCTGGCTTGTTTGTACAAAATTTAGAGCGATCGAGCAAATTTTGTTTCTTTTCTTTTCCTTAATGAACTTTTCAGTAAGCGATACTTTAAATTTGATGTAAGATTTAATTCTACATAACTTATGCTTTCAGGAGCGAGTAATAATGTTTAACACCAAACCAATTGTAATATACTGTTAATTGTGGGGGGAGTGATGGCATTTTATGTACGAAAAGCCAATCATGTGCACAAAAACATTCTTAAAAACCAAAGACATATAATACAACATAACTTTATTATATGTTTCTGAAAAACTAAAGATATCTAGTAACAATAACAATATTTTTCTCTGAACTTCCGGTCCAACTGGGTGAATTGGCTACACTGAAATAGGAAGTGTGTCTGAACTTGCGGTCCAACTTGGTGAATTGGCTACACTGAAATAGGAAGTGTGTCTTAACTTCCGGTCCAACTGGATAAATTGGCTACACTGAAATAGGAAGTGTGTCTGAACTTCCGGTCCAACTGGATAAATTGGCTATAATGAAATAGGAATTGTGTCTGAACTTCAGGTCCAACTAGAGGAATTGACTTTATCTGTATCTGTAATAAATCTCCACCTCCAATATAGGAGATCGAGGAAATCCTCATCTAAACCATAAACCAAATAAATCACACAATACTGTACATGTAACTTTAAAGTATTTACAGTTAAACATAGATGTTGAAGTTCATCAGTGTTTCTAGTCCTGTGTGAATTTTGGTAAGGAGTATTTCAAACTTTAAACAACTACAGCATAGGATGCATTGGACACAAGGACTGACGAACACATTATACATCTCATCGTCTTAAATGGGCAAGAGAAAGAATAAAAAATAAAAAAATAAGTAAACATAAAACGGTTGAATAGGAAAAATGCACTAATTTCTGTAATGACATAGGAAGTGTGTCTGAACTTCCGGTCCAACTGGATGAATTGGCTATTATGAAATAGATAGTGTGTCTGAACTTCCGGTCCAACTGGATGAATCCTAAAATGAAATAATAGGAAGTGTGGAGATACAAAATCATAGCAGTTGGATTTGAAGAACGTTGAAATCTCGTATTTGTCATTAGGAAGTAGATTATTACAATTGGATCTCTAAAATGAAGATGTCGTTATTATGCCCCCGCTGCAGCGAAGGGGCATTAAGTGTTACCCTTGTCTGTCTGTACGTCCGTCCGTCCGTACGTACGTCCCGAAATTGGTTTCCGTTCTCTTACTTTTAGTTTGTCTGAATCAAATGTTATGAAACTTATACACAATGCTTATTATCATAAAACACAGATCAAATTCGAATTTTGATGGTGTCACTTTTACCGTTCTTGCGTTATGTCCATTTATAAAATTATATGCAAGCGGGGGAATTATCTATGTCCCATGGACACATTCTCCGTTTATTTTCAAATATAAGTCTTGAAAAGTAGACAAAGATCACTATAAGATAAGATTCACATAACGATTTCTTGTTAAAATCAAATGACAACTATTTGATTTTAATAACTGAAAAACACTTTAATCAAACAAACTTAATCATGTTAATACTAGTATACTACGAGATAAGAACACCAATTGAGATTTAAAATACATGTTACCTGATTCATCATTCAGCTTGGAAAAATGTGTTCAGTAGATACTGTATTTTTGTCCAATCACAGTGTCCAGGCATATTGAGATAAGTAGGGTACACAAAAAGAGCAACACAGCGCCCAGAAGGTAAATATAACCATTCCACCTTTACTGCTTCATAGGCTGTATGCAAAATAAAATAATTTCCATTGTCAAACATACCTGTTCGAATGTAATACTTTCGTTTTATGAATATCTGTTAAAATGGAGTACACATTTCTTTGAAATACAAACATTTTGATGACTGGGCGAAAATATAGACATGCAAATTATTTAGCCTACTGTTATATCTACATGGTATATCTATGACAAGAAATTAAATATGTTATAAATTAAGTGACATTACCTTTTATGTTACAGCCAAGAATAGTTTTTCGTAGTGCATCAACCTTCTGTTTACATGCTATTTATATCGGAAAACCTAAACCGTAAGACACTTAACTTCCTTTCTTGATGGGTTCACAAGTCATGTAGATTTCCTTCTCGTTCGAGCTGTTTGTATTCTTTGAACCATTTGACCTCAGAAATGAACGCATGGCAATTCAAGGAAATTATCTCAATTCAAATTCCAATCTCCTTTCCAGGAATAGTCTGTTTATATGTTTGAATACCATTTACATCGTCAGACATATCAATTCACCGAATATTCGTTCATATGGGGTACACAGATGAGTTTTTTAATTATATAGCCGTATTTATTCTAAACATTTAACCGCAGAAGTTTAAAGGCATGACACGACTTGTATCCTGCAACAAGAATGGTTTACAAAGTTATAAACTAATTTAAGTAAATAGAATTATTCATTGAGAAAATTTAAACTTTTTAAACAGTTAATTTTCTGCTTTGTAATTTAGGATAGGTAAAATGGCGTTTACTTAAGCTAGTTAAAAAAAATACACAAAACACAAAATAGAAAACTAAAGACTGGCAAATACGAACCACACTAAAGACCCGGGAGGGGTAAGGGTGATCTCAGATACTCCGTAGGGTAACAGATCCTGTACCACATGTGGCACCTGCTCATGTTAGTCTCATTAGGAAATATTACTATCTAGGACGGGATTGTGGCTAAGACAATTGGAACATATTCGTGGTCAACTGTGACACATTTATTCCACAACGGTCAAGCTACGCATGGTTAGGTCCGTCAAACTGTGGAATAGATGACTTCAACGTTACAACTTGGGATCACTTGGAACCCTTGATTTAATAGCTTTCTTGTAAACAGTAACCTCCACCAAGAAAATCATGGTAGCAAACGCAAGCTCTGTAAATATCGTATTATCTCGGAGGTATGTATACACTATATATGCAGGCACTTCCGGAAATTGTGTTTATCCGTTAATAGTTTTTTAGCACGTAGGTTTGAATTTACCGCGCTTTCTCTCATAAAATTGAGAATGGAAATGGGGAATGTGTCAAAGAGACAACAACCCGACCATGGAACAGACAACATGCATTTTTCCCCAATTTTTCAAGCCTAGTTTGAGTGGACCATGCTTTCAAACATTGAGTGGACCATGCTTTCAAACAGTACTTTGCTCATAGCTGCACGCTAAAAAATTTTGCTAGCTTTCCCACCCACCCTCCCAGTAGCATTATTAATGGTGTTGTGTTTGCGTGATAACTGCTGCTATTTTTAGCCATATCATAGACTTTTGTTACACATATATTAATTACTACCATTTGGACTTTTTGTTACATGTACTTGCTTGTTATATGATGAGGATATGAATGTTATGGGGGGGGGGGGGGGGGGGGGGGGAGGGGGTATTTGCCTAGGGGTACTAAGCTCAAATAAATATTGCCATACGTAGTTTTGTTTATTATACCAAGTAAGGTAAATGACCAAATATGAAATGATAGTCTATTTAAAAAATGAAAAAAATAATCATTGGGAAGCTGAAATCGTCTCGTTTGTCACAAAGAGTTGTGAATCCCCATTGTTTATCAATTTTCTACAAGTAAGTCAAGATGTGAATCAGACTGAACTGCATCTGTGGTATCCTTTAGTTTAAGCTCGATAGGTTATATGAGTTTAATATAGTCACCAAACTTTGGATTATTTAGTGAGAAGACATATTTGTGTCCGTTTGTTTACTTTTGCTTTGTTTTCCCTATGATCTGTCAGGAGTTACATTGTACGGTCCTTACTTATTGATAAATTCCGTTTATATCATTTCCGTTTTATTATCGTTAAATTGATCTATTTCAAATCTGAATTTTAGTCACGACAAAAAAAAGTAATATTCGATCTTGCCGATTTTCACATTTGCCATTCAGCTGCTCTGGTCATTGATTGGTTCGAACTATTATAAAACCGCTGAACGCTATTGTACAATGTCCGATGTTGACCCAAGGGGAGGAGTTGAGGTGCATGGAAATTATGTTTTAAGGTCATTCAGTCTGATTTGGTACTGTCGCCCCACTCTCTTTCACCCCTATATTTTTCGATTGACCCAGTATCCTTGAACCGTCACTGCATGTTATACAAGTAAAACGTGTTATTATCAGTGTAAATATACGTGGTCGTTAAGTCGGATATGAACGTTATAACAAAATCTGACGATTGTTAAATGATTATCTTAAAATTATAATTGCATCTAAAGTTTAAAAAGTATTCATTATTGAAAAAAGAGATAATTACAATATAATAGCATGATAATTATACATAGAAGTCAAAAATGGGATTCAGAAACGCGTTTTGAAAAACTAATATAAATCTGTCCCCGAGCATCTTCAGTTTAATGTTTAATCGTATTACTGTACACATTATTTTAACGATTTGGCCATGTAAGGATTAACAAAATTGATACTGCAAGGTCAAGCACTAAATAATATAAAAAAAACAGGAAATTAAAAGGGAAATTAAGAGGGATAAAAGCTCCACATTTGAGATTTTGAATAGCAAAATATATCACACGGCAAAAACAACACCAGCACTATATAATGTGCATACATCTTGTGTTGCTGCTTCTTTATGCATATTATATATACTTAGTATGTGAATAAAATGAGATCCGCGGTATACGTTGATGAAAAAACAAACCAACGAAAATAAATAGCCAACGACATCTAGAGGTCAACTTAGTTATTAACAAACCATAGATGTCTACTGAATAGATTCTAAATCGCACAGTCTAAACGATAGACTCCCAAGAGCCTGAACATGCATGAAATATTTGCCACTGGATGTAAGGCAACCATTAATCAATCAATCCTAAGAGCTTGAATCGCTCACCTTTCCGAACGATATCTGGTCTAGCATGTCTAGTATTGCTGATAATATTTGCTTTTAACAGATTCTATCTCTCTATTATAGTTTCAAGATAATTGGTAATAATTCCTATAAAGAGTCAACCAATAGATTAGATCACATTAGCATTTTTGTAAATTTTGTATTATTGCTGATAATTTTTTTATGTTGACCATGTATACATTTTCTACCTCTCTATAAGAAGTAGGGTACAAAAATGTAGATCTTTACATTCCGCTTATTTTGGCCTATTTTTGGCACTCGGATTATCTCTATCTATCATGTTTTTCAAGATATTCGACAAGTATTGCATTATGTTTTTTTTTTTTATTTTAAAAAGCTATTTTTATAGCAAAAAAGACAATCACACACTTTATAATAAAAACCCACCTTTTAACCCTACGAATTGTTTAGAAATTGGACCATGGTTTCAGAGGAAAATATTCTTACGACGGACAACGACAGACGCCAAGTGAGGGTAATAGCTCACATGCCTCATAGGTTCAGGTAAGATAACAAAATTGCGAATAAACAGAATATCAAAATATCTCCAAATAAAAACTGGACAAACATTATGATATGACAAAGACAACCGCGTATATGAGGGTCTGAATGGGGTTTATAGTATAGAGAAGAATACTGGACCAAAAGTGGAGAATAATGGTCAAGAATAATAAAGAAGAGAATAACGGGGAAAACAAATACCTTTTTTTTTTTAGAAAACTGGTGTAAAAATATTTAAGAATAAAGAAATTAAGGATATCCCCCCCCCCCCCCCCCCCAATTCCACACCCTCATATATATATTGTATTGTGCTGATAGTGTGGAAATACGAATATAAATAAGAAATATAGTATATTACACATAAAGCCAATTAAAATAACAGTTCCATAAATTATTCATTCAACTAATTATGACTGAATTCCGTTAACCAATAATAAAAAAAAAACCCATAAGAACGATATAATCTTACCTCTGTATTGTATATATACCGTTTGATAAACATATCTTCCTATTTTTATATTTATAATTTCCATGCGGATAGCACGTGTTCTTCACGTTGTATTTATGTACACTGTTCTTTACAAACCAAGTCTCGAGCTTGTGTATGTGCAATATATAATGATACTTATCATGTCATATATGTAGGATTCGGAGGTGCGATGGGGACGCTGAAGTGCGATGGTCACGCTGAAGTGCGATGGTCTTCGCCAAAGTGCGATGGTCTGTTCGCCGAAGTCCGATGATCTATATACATTTGTATGTCCTTAGTTATAGTTTCACACTAAATGAGAGCTCGTTAAGTTTGCTTTAACAGTTTATCTTTACTTTGTTCCCCTCATCTGAGATTACTATATGTGTTATGTAGTTAGAGATTTCCAAGCACTATCGTATGTAAAAAACAAAACTTCTGTAAATTTCGAAAAAGTATCTGCTACAGAGAGGCTAAATTACCCCTGTTTACTAATCATTTCCCTGTACCGTTAGTATTAAGAATTTATTTACTTGTATTCATGTTGGATATACAAAAACATTCCATATTTTCTCTAGTTGCACTAAAAACCACATACGGTGATAAGTTCATTAGGCACTTACTATATTGCGTTTTAAACAGCTATCACATTTTCAGTCATTGAAATAATCCGGGAAATCGTGATGACGTCGTGAAAATGAAGAAAATCACGAAAATGCACGTGCTTCATGACGTCGCAATGAATTTTGGGATGTTGGATATACAAAAATAAAATATCGTAAAACTCTTGAAATTTATCATGATAGTTAACTTTGTTACTTATTACGTTTACACATACATATGAATAAGCTACACGAGGTAAGGGCTGAGTGTACATGTATATTACGTTTACACAAACATATGAATAAGCTACAAGAGGTAAGGGCTGAGTGTATATTACGTTTACACATACATATGAATAAGCTACACGAGGTGAGGGCTGAGTGTATATTACGTTTACACATACATATGAATAAGCTACACGAGGTGAGGGCTGAGTGTATATTACGTTTACACATACATATGAATAAGCTACACGAGGTGAGGGCTGAGTGTATATTACGTTTACACATACATATGAATAAGCTACACGAGGTGAGGGCTGAGTGTATATCACGTTTACACATACATATGAATAAGCTACACGAGGTGAGGGCTGAGTGTATATTACGTTTACACATACATATGAATAAGCTACACGAGGTGAGGGCTGAGTGTATATTACGTTTACACATACATATGAATAAGCTACACGAGGTAAGGACTGAGTGTATATTACGTTTACACATACATATGAATAAGCTACACGAGGTAAGGGCTGAGTGTATATTACGTTTACACATACATATGAATAAGCTACACGAGGTAAGGGCTGAGTGTATATTACGTTTACACATACATATGAATAAGCTACACGAGGTAAGGGCTGAGTGTATATTACGTTTACACATACATATGAATAAGCTA